TGGACACATCACCCAAAATTCATGGTTTACATTAGGATTTACTCTTGGTGGTACATTCTATGGGTTTGGACACATTTATAATGACATATATTTATCAATCTAGTGTCATACAGAACAGTTTCACTGCCCTAAAAATCTTGTGTTTTACATATTCATTCCTCCCTCCCCACCACCTCTGGCAACCACTGGTCTTTTTACTGTAGTCACAGTTTTGCCTTTTCTAAAATGTCATATAGCTGGAATTATACAGTATGTGGTCTTTTCAGATTGGTGTCTTTCACTTAGTAATGCATTTAAATTCTCTCCATGTCTTTTCATAGCTTGATAGCTCATTTCTTTTTAGTGCTGGATATGTCTGGATCCACTCACCTACTGAAGAACATCCTGAATTCGTCCTTACGTTATGTTGAATTTTTAATTTCAGCATTTGTTATAGCTTTCAGCCTTTATTATGGAGAATTTCAAATATATATACAACTAGAATAATATACAATTCACGTATATACTCATTACCCAGCCCCAGCAATCATCAACCCATAGCCAATCCTGTCCATCCATTTACGCCTACCCTCTCCTATATTATCTTGAAGGAAATTCTAAATGTTCTGTAACTTCAGCATTTCAGCATTTAATTTAGGAAATGCTTCACTGTACATCTCCAAGCATAAGGATTCTTTTTTAAAAATGTAACCACAATACCATTATTATGTCTAAGAAAAACCCAAATCTTTAATCATAAAATATCCACTATTCAAATTTCCAATTGTCACAATGTCATACATTCTTTTTTTTAAGTTTATGTGAATTAGGACCCAGATGAGGACCACACATTGCACTTGGTCATTCATTGTCTTCTAAATCTCTTAATCTATTAAGTTCTCCTGCATCTTTTTCCCCTTACAATTTATTTGGTGAAGAAACCAAGTCGTTTGCCCTGAAGAGTGTCCCAGTCTTATTTTGCTGCTTTCATCTCTGCTAGATTTCTCTGTCCTCTGTATGTCTCATACGAGATCTAGAGTACCATCTACAGACTTGATGATTCAGGTTGAAATTTTTTTTTTTTTGTAAGGCTATTTCATAGGTGGTGGTATGATCTTCCATTTAGAGGCATATAATAACTGGTCTGGCCAGTTAGATCCATTGGTTAGAGTGTGGTGCTGATAACACCCAGGTCCAGGGTTTGATCCCTGTACCGGTCAGCCACCAAAATTTAAAACAAACAAAAATACTAGAGGATATAATAATCTGGTTGTATTTTTTTGGTATAAGGCAGACATGGATGCCCAATGCCTAGTTCACCTGGAGTTGCAAAATGTTGATACCATAATTTTCATCAGTCCTTCATTATTAGCTAGAATACTTTTATAAAGAGAAAATTCCTTATATCCACTATTTGGTTACCCAGTGGTACTTTGTATAGGAAAAAACAAAATGTATCTTTCTGTTTAATGTATTGATTCCCTAGCTTCCTTCAATGGTGCTATTAACACTGACATTCATTTTTAATCTTTAAGGGGCTTTTAATCTTTTATACTCTTTTTCCTTTAGTATTCTGTTTATATTTCATGGATATAACATCTCAAAAATCACTATTTGGGTCTCTTTTAAGGTTCTTTTCCCTAAGTATGTTTCCACTGGGGTTAATTTTTCTATTTGTCTTAACCTTTTTCTTTCATGCTATAGTTCACCTCATTTGTCTGTACATCCACTTATACTTAAGGAGGTTGCCAGTTTTGGGTTTCCTTTACTTTGTTAAAGTAGGGCTGTTTTACTGCCACTTCATTTCTCTGAGTGGGGATCCTTACTGGAAACTCCTTGTGGGATAGTCTAGGACTTAGCATGTCGACTTAAACTTCATTTAAATGTTAGAGTATAGGGAGCTAATTGTTAGGCTGATGCTTCTTTAAATGCTTTCCTCTGGGGACTGACATAAGCATTTCAAGCCTTGGCCCTCACTGTACAGGTTGTTCAGTTCCCATAAGAGACCCCTCACCGCCCCCCCACCCCCCCACCCCTCGGGGTGTTCCTGCTGCTTATCCTCTGTGCACAGGAGTGGGTTATAGGCAGTGATGTCTTTTCCCCATATAGGCCTTCAATTAATCATCGTATTTTTGGCTCTATTTTTCACAAATTCTAAACCCGAATTCTCTCTGGGATTTATTTTGTCTGCTAGACTTGCTCCCATCTCTTCTGAGGTCCCTTCTGAAGCTTTCTCTTCAAGTTTCACCCATCTTCCAGAAATATACAGAACATTCCTTTAATTAGCAAAACTCTGGCCTTTTTTCTTTGTCTTACAGGTTCTTTCCTTTTTTAATATGTAAAATTTTATTTTAGTTTATTTAGGATTTTAGGAGGCGTGGGAGGGAAACATATCACTAGTTTGCCATAAGTACCAGCCTTTTTTATTAGTGCTCTCTAGGAAAAACAAAAATCTTATTTTCACCCTGGTTAGTACTTGGTCAATATGGATGTCTTCTAAAATATATTGATTTGCTTGGTATGGATACTAAATTTAAAACTTTTCACCAAATTATCAGATTATCTGCATATTTTTGATCTCACTAAATCATGTCTGGTTGACTTAGTATTTTTCTACATGTATTCCACACTTGTAAAAATTTATCTAAATACAGATAAATATGTACTACTAAAAGAAATACTTTTAATCAAAGCCAGTATTTCTAGTTAATATGGTTTTCCATTTAATGATTAGCAACTGCATGATTCTGCAGTCAAGTTTGAAACACATCTTCCCGTTTTCTTGGGAGAGGAAGTTCTAATTTAATCTTTAGATATCAATGATTTTATGTCATAGATATTATAGATTAAATTAACATACCTCATAAACTCAGATTAAGACTATGAGTTGAATTTCCGAGTAAGAATATATTGACTTTTATTAAATAAATGACTAAACCTTTAATTCTGAAGCTAATATTAATGTAGGAGAAAAAAAAATCTTGTGATTAGCTTAAAGCCACATCTTTACAAACTCAAGATCATTTAGAAACATCTAAGATTTATGGTTTTAAGCTGGTGAAATAAAGGCCTTCTACCTCCTTTTCTTGAAAATCATCCCAAAATAACAAGGAGAGAAAGAAACATTTTTTTTTTTTCCTTTTTCCTTTTTGTCTTTTTTCGTGTCCGGNTTTGTGAAATTTCATAATACCAGAGATAAGGAACTAAAACCTTCCACACGGAAAGAAAAGTTAAGTCAGAGAAAGGAAGGGATTCAGAATAGGAATCAACTTATCATCAACATTGGAAACTATTCTTGGGACAGTGTAAATTAAAATCCTCAGTTAAAATGGTTTCTAATCTAGAATTTTATGCCCAGAGAAACGACCAACTGAAAGTGTTTCCCCTTCCTCTCTCAACTGTCCAGGTACACTTTTAAGAGGAAGAGTAGAATAAATTCATTTCAAACATGCAAAATCTGAAATAATTTACTTGCCATGTAAGCTTTCTCAGAAAGCTATTAGAGAATGTGTTCCACCAAAACAAAAAGAATACCTGGGCTGGTTGGTTAGCTCAGTTGGGAGAGCATGGTGCTAGTAAAACTAAAGTCCCGGGTTCGGATTCCTGTACAGGCCNCGGGAACCGGTCTGTATGTGGGATCCGAACCCTCGGCGGGAGAAGCCACCGTGCTCCCAAGTGGCGCACTGTAGCAGTGCGCCACCGGGCCGGCCCAGAAAGAAACATTTTTTGATGACACTAGGAGAAATACATTACCCCTAATCACAACATATAGAAAGTGGATGGAGAAATGATAAATGACCTGTGCTTAAGTCCTTAAGTGACTTAAATGCTTATGTGCCTGCAGAGAAAGATACTGAACACAAACCAATTCACACAAGAAAGTTCAAAGAGCTAGAACCTAGAAAGCTGGGACAAGGTGGAGGACTGAAATGGTTACTGTTTGAAAAGTCTGGGTAAAGAAAAGGTGGGGCTCCCAGATTATTTACCCTGGACTTGGTGCAGAGAGAGGGGATTGTACAGTCTCCAGGGAACCTAAATTAGAGAGACTGGGCTGGAAGACAAGCACAGAGGACTGCAGGGGTGAGGCCCGGGACTGAAAATGGAGACGGAGACTGCTTTCTGAACAGTGAATCCTCTCTAACCCCACCCTGCTCAGAACACTGTCAGGCACATTTATAAATCCCCACTCGACTTTTCCAGCAGGGATAAGAGGATCCCATTCTAGAGAAACTGAACCAACCCAGGTCTCTACAAACTGACATTTGGGAATCCCTAGTGAAAAAGTCAGCTGGCCATCTGAGCCTGCCAGTTGATGAACTGCTCCCACAGAGCTTCCAAACAGTTTTTTTTTTTTTTAATGACAGTGAAAGACTGCCTGACATTTGAAGAAAGCCTCCACGTGACAGAAACCAAAATGAAGAGGAGAAAGGAACTGAGAGGAAATAAAAGCAATACGGCAAACAGGAACTAACTTTATAGTTAATATCTTTAGAGAGATGAGAAGATAATGCATCTGTCAAACAAGATTATGGTATGAAAAAATAAGAGCTTTCAGAGATTGAAAACAAAGTCTGAAGTAAATTTCTTAAAAAAGGTTGTAAAATAAAGCACTTGTTTTGGAAAGGGGAAAAACAGAGATGGAAATCGTAGAATAAACAGATAAAAATATTAGTTATCAGTATAAGATGTCCAGTGAAAGAAAAAAAAAAAAATCAAAAAAATTGCTCAGGACTGACAAAGATGACCCTCCATCTGGAAGGGACCAATAAGAAAAGTACAATGAATGACCAAAAAAACCACCAAAACACATCTTTGTGAAATTTCATAATACCAGAGATAAGGAACTAAAACCTTCCACACGGAAAGAAAAGTCAGAGAAAGGAAGGGATTCAGAATAGGAATCAACTTATCATAAACATTGGAAACTATTCTTGGGACAGTGTAAATTAAAATCCTCAGTTAAAATGGTTTCTAA